GACCAGCTAAAACCAGCTTAAACAGCCTAGCCAGACTGGGAGTCCAGCCAAAACCAGCTATGTCCAGCTTAAACCAGGCTGGTCAAGCTGGTTTTAGCTGGATTTAGCTAGTCATTTTCCCTCCTGAACCAGCTAAGACCAGGCTGGAAATGGCTGGAAACCAGTCTGGAAATGGCCAAAACCCCTCTAAAACCAGGATGGTAAACAAGCTAAAACCTGCCAACCAGCCTAGGCTGGTTTAAGCTGGATTTTTCAGCAGGGAAGAGATTATTCAGCAAATGTGTTTCCATCTCTAAATATAGTCGAATGGGTTATATGCCCAGCTGTGTTTTCCAGCCAGTGATGAACTTCCACACTGTAAAACCCGAAATGAAATAAATGAAAATTAATTCATTTGAAAAGAGTTTTGAACTCTGTGTTAAAGGTGATGAGTTAATTAAATACCCCATTACTTCAACTTAAATGGAGTTAGTTGGAGTCGTACTGGATTTCTACCTTCAAACCCATCTCAACAAATCAATGTTTATCCTTATTCCTCCACATCCTGTTTCTCGTCATTTTTATTAAATATAATTATGTGATTAATTGAATGAGTATTTCACTTTGAATTGATTTGACTAATGAATAAGTTAACACATTGCTTTATGTAAGAAGGTTCAGTGTCCTTGCTCCTCTCTTTGCCTGTCCATTTTAACTTTGATTTCAGGAGACACACAAAAACCAGGTCATGGAGACCTCTCTCTCTGTCTCTCTGTCCTTCTGAAGGGAATTACCATGCAGAGGAGAAGAAAAACACCGGTTCTAGTTTGTTCCTCCACTGGCTTGCTTGGCTTTGGACTTGTGGAGCTGTGCATGGATGGATTTGCTCTTCAGTGTTTGAACTTTAAGCAGTGAATATTAAACCACACTGAACTGAACCTTAACTCTGAACACTGGACTGACACAGCTTCAGTGTACTAGAACTTCTGTGTTCAGCTGCTGCCACACAATCTCCAGTGTAAAAGTGCTACAGAAATAAAGATGAATTCAATTGAATCTATACATTTTTCAGGCGAGCAGAAAAAACATCGCACATTAAGGGATTTTTGTGGCATTTATATGACTCGCAGTGCACATTAAAACCCAGCTAATAACACAGCACATCAAAAATAACTAATTACTAATATTTAAACATGTTTGAATGTGCTTTTCAAAACTTGAATGACAATCTAAAATAAATCCAAGACATTTAAAATGTGATATTATTTGTCATTTTTAACAAAGAACTATTATTTCTGGTTGGGCTCAGTCCTTTTTAGATATTAGATTATGCAATTAATTTAAAGTCTTTGCATTTTTATGTCTTGAACTTTAACAATCATTTATTCATTTTCTTTTCGGCTTAGTCCCTTTATTAATCTGGGGTTGACACAGCGGAATGAACCGCCAACTTATCCAGCATGTTTTACACACCGAATGCCCTTCCAGCTGCAACCCATCACTGGGAAACACCCATGCACTCTCATTCACACACACACAACGGCCAATTTAGCTTACCCAGTTCTCCTATAGCGCATGTGTTTGGACTGTGGGGGAAACCGGAGCACTCTAAGGAAACCCATGCCAACACGAGAACATGCAAACTCCACACAATAACGCCAACTGACCTAGCTGGGACTTGAACCAGCGACCTTCTTGCTATGAGGCGACATTGCTACCCACTGCACCACCACGTCGCCTACATTAACAAGTATGCATTTTTTTACACTCATGCATTATTAACAGCGACCTGCTTTGCAGACTTCTCATGTTTTCACACAAATATCCGAACAAAATGAAATAAATAAATAAATGAATGAATAAGCAAATAAATAAACTAGTCTTAAAACATGACTCCACTGTGTTTTCATACCTCAGGCGCATGGACACACTCACACACACACACACTCACACACACACTTCTCTTCTTCTGAAATCCAGACTTTGGCTTATTTTTGGCAGGTTTTGTTGCTCTTCTTCCTGCATGTCTCTCGCGGGACAGGAAGTGCCTGTTTACTGCCGTTAAAAAGCCCAAATCCTGTGCAAATGTGTCCTGATTTGATATGCAGTTCATGCAGAGGGAGATCTGCTGGGAGAAGCACGACGCAGGTTTGCTTCACTACAGACTAAACTCAGTTTAATGGCATGCTTGTGCACAGATTTCCTCACTAATGATCAGTTTATTAGCAAACATTATGCAGAGCTGGAGAAAAAACAACAACAAACTGACAAACAAACAGCTTTTAAACTATTAATACCATTGAAAGGCGACGCAGTGGGCATGTTCGCATTACAGCAAGAGGGTTGCTGGTTCGAGCCTCGGCTGGGTCAGTTGGTTTCTCTGTGTTGCTGTGGGTTTCCTCGGGTGCTCCGGTTTCCCCCACAGTCCAAACACATGCGCTATAGGGGAATTGATCAACTAAATTGGCTGTATAGTATGAGTGTGTGTGTGAATGGGTGTGTATGAGTGTTTCCCAGAACTGGGTTGTGGCTGAAAGGGCATCCCCTGCCTAAAACATACACCAGAGGACAGCAACAGCCTTCGAAATGAGATGCAGATTCATAAATACACACAGGTTGCTTTTAATTAGCAAACTACTTGCTCATTTTTGTGTTGTCAATCTGGCAACCTGCACTGAGTGATATTTTGAATTCGAACTGCAATACCCAGATCAACCACTAGGTTAATCACACCTCCTTTAAAATGAACATTTATTCATGTTTTTGTAACATTCATTTTCCTTTAGCTTATGCCTCATTCACCTGTCTCTCTGGGTGGAGACCTGCTGCAAGCGCAGGTCTGTGTAGGTCTACAGCACGGAGAATACAACCGGCCTCTGCAGGAGCTGAGAGAGAATCACATGAGCTCTACTGCTGCACCTATTGGCTGTCGCTAAAAAAAATCACTCTTCATTTGCATAAAGTTGAAGGATTCTCAACTTGACACGCCCACCTGGTTGTTGTCGTTCGCGTAGATGGCCAAACTAGTTCAAATGTGCTTTTAAGGACAATAAAGAGGGAATGTTTTGGAGTGGCCATCACAAAGCCCTGATCTCAATCCTATAGAAAATGTGTGGGCGAACAGCCTACAAATCTGACTCGGACACCAGTTCTGTCAGGAGGAATGGGCCAAAATTATGTATATGTATATGTGTGTGTGTGTTTGAAGAGCTGTACTTATTTCAATATATATATCTGATCTCCAGCGGATCCTCCAGGGTTTCTCCTCTGTAAACTCAGTTTAGATTAGAGAGTGTGCCGTGTTTAAAGGGAACATGCTTGACTTTGAGTTCAGACTGAGATGTCAGTCACTAACGCTCTTATTATCTGCTTCATGTCAGAGCTGATTTAATTCTGCTGCTCTCAGAGACAATCTTCAGAAAACACACTGCAGATTAACACAGATCTGCAGAATAAGGCAGGAAATCTCTCCGTCTGTCGGTTTCCATATATGACTGCTTTCAGAGGGAAACAATTATTAGATTTTTAGGATCACTAAGTTAGTTCAAGTGCACAAATCAAACATCGGAAAGCTCTTCGCTTGAAGTTTGCATGCATGTTTTTGGCTTGTTTGTGACATGTGCAGTTCTCCACACCTCACTGTATTTGAACGTTAACTCTACTTTATTATCCCTTCAGTACAGATGTTCCCATCAAGCGTCAGTGCATGAATCATTTATAAGGCTGCTCATTTATTTATTTTATTTTTTATTTTTTGTTCACATTTTTGGATCAAGCTCTTGTTGATGCTGTTGTCAGCTTTGGTAAGTCTTTGCTTTGTTTGCGATGCCTGGAGCTCATCTGAGGGAGTCATCTGTGAGCAGAAATGTGCAGAATCACATATTTGGGTTTGTGTATCTGCTACTGAGTTGTCATTGAGCTGCTTGCAAAGATTCACTTGTTTTGTGGTACACACACACACACACACACACACACACACACACACACACACACACACACACACACAGATTGGCATCATGGATGTGCAGCCGACAAATCTGCAGCAACTGTGTGATGCTATCATGACAATATGGAGCAAAATCTCTGAGAAATATTTCCAGCAGCTTGTTGAATCTTTGCCATGAAGGATTAAAGCAGTTCTGAAGGCAAACGAGGGTCCAACCCGGTACTAGTAAGCTGTACCTAATAAAGTGACCAGTGAGTTTATTTGTGTTTATGGATATGTGGGTGTATTTGGTGTGTATATGTACAGTATGTACAGTATATGTGGGTGCGTGTGAGCGTATGTATATGTGGGTGCGTGTGTGTGTGTGTGTGTGTGTGTGTGTGTGTGTGTGTGTGTGTGTCTGTGTGTGTGTGTGTGTGTGTGTGTGTGTGTGTGTGTGTGTGTGTGTGTGTTTGTGTGTGTGTGTGTGTGTGTGTGTGTGTCTGAACTGTTTACACTGTAATTGCTTCAGTTTATTGTCAGAGTGTCTTGATGTCCTGCTGTGTGTCTAATTCCACATCTGCTGTCATTGAACACTGAACTCCTGCAATAACAAACACTACACGCTGTCCATCAGATGAGAAGAGCAGACCAGTGTGAAATCCTGAAGATCATCACCAAAGTGTGTGTGCGTGCGCGCGTGCGCGCGTTCTGACCTGAGATGAACTCCTGTACAGCACATGTAATGAGCTGATTTCTGCATCTCATCAGGCTTGAGGTAATAAGATACCAAACATCAAGGGAAATTTGCGATTAGGGTTTGTGATTGAATCGGTTTTATATGCTGATGAGTGAGGAAAGACTGCATTTTTGTGTTTAATATTCAAAGACTGACATTGTAATGAAAGGTTAAACCGGTGTGGGTGCTGATTTGTTTTCTTACGTTAGTAGTAAATTTTTAACGTCTTAAATGTTGTATTTTATCACGATATTTCTTGTAATGATTAGTACATGTTTAATAACTCTTCTGTATGTTGTTGAAAACGCGTTTGACCCTGCGTGCTTTCCGTTCAGCGTCTCGTTGCTAGGAGACACATCCAAAACATCAGTCCCTCGGCTGAACTTCTGCTCTCAACACGATTGAATAGTGAATAAAATCAGCGTTTTTCACATTGAATTGTAGTTTAAAAGCTGAGCTGCTGTTCTAATACTAAGTGAACGCGAAATGGATCTGCGTATTCGACAATATTTATCAAAAGCGGAGGAGAAAAGAGGTAATAATGACCAAATACATAACGTGCTTAATATCAAGCTAACGCAATACTAACGTAGCGACAACACTGTTATTGACGAGTCACATCTCACATGAACATATACTGTAGTACTTTAGTTCATCTAATTAATTTGAACCAGTATTATGCTACATATATTATAGTATTTACAGTTCTACGTTAAAGAATGCTCCAGTAACTTATAACTTACTCTAAATTTAGCTAACGTTATAGTCAACTGATAAACTCATAAATATTGTAGTATACTTTAGTTCTTACTGTAGTAAGCTGTGGTGTATTGTAGTATATATGCTTTAACAACCATATTAATAAGTTATATTAATATGATTGTTGTGTTACCATAGAATCACCACAACAGAATAATTCAAGTACTTTACTATAACATGGCAAAAACACCGTAACATTTAGTATTGTAATTTTTTTTATATATATATATGGATTAGGAAAAGACTTTGCAAAGTTTTTAATATTTTGATACGTCTTTGATTATTTTAAACACATGTAAAGCTGTAATCAGTGATTCATATTTTATATATATATATATATATATATATATAAATATATATATATATATATATATATATATATATATATATATATATATATATATATATCTCTATATATATCTCTATATATATATATATATATATATATATATTTATATATATATATATATATATATATATATATATATATATATATATATATATATATATATATATATATGGCTGCACGGTGGCGCAGTGGGTAGCACGCTCTCCTCACAGCAAGAAAACTCGCTGGTTCGAGCCTCGGCTGGGTCTTAATTGTAATTTCAGTGTGGAGTTTGCATGTTCTCCCTGTGTTTGCGTGGGTTTCCTCCGGGTACTCTGGTTTCCCCTACGGTGCAAACACATGGTATAAGTTAATTGGGCCAGCTAAAATGTGTGTGTGTGTGTGTGTGTGTGTGTGTGTGTGTGTGAATGTTTCAAAGTAATGGGTTGTAGCTAGAAGGGCATCCACTGCGTAAAACATATGCTGAATAAGTTGGTGGTTCATTCTGCTGTGGTGAACCCACATTAATAAAGAGACTAATCAGAAAAGAAAATGAATGATAATATAGTGTGTGTGTGTGTGTATATATACAGGGCTCGAAATTAACTTTTTTATTTGGTAGCACCGGTGCTCCCAACTTCAAATATTTAGGAGCACCAAAATAAATTTAGGAGCACCAGAAAAAATTTAGGAGCACCCACCAAAAATGATCGAGCACCGCTGCAAATTGCTTTTTAAGGGATTTATTGTATTTTAAAACAACATTAATAAGACTGACAAAAACCAGAAACAACTATCTAACTAATGCTGCGAAGACATTGATATTTGTGTGCAATAATTCCAAAATGAATGTCTAATAATTAGGCCATAGAATATTAATGATGATAAAAAATTACAATAATAGTAATGAATTCCATTTCTCATTATGATGCTGCCTTGAATGTGCATGAATGTAGGTTATCTGCTATAAAAAGTCTGTTACTTTATGAAAAATAATTGTATAGTTTGCATCAAACAAAAATGAAGCATTGCAGTAAGAAATATTTATTTTGTACTGCTGTTTTTATATGCATGTCAATTTAATACATAATATTTCTGCTACAAAACAAACAAAAGATTATAATAAATCATTCAATTCAATGATGAAAGCTGCAAAGCAGTCATCAGTAAATAAATAAAAAATTTAAATAATATACACCTCAAAAAAGAATGGACAAAGGAAAGAAAGTAAAGTCTCACTTCTATCACTCTTTAAAAGTTTTGGTTTCAGTTTGTGTCAATTTAAATGTTCAGTCTGAGATGATCTTCATTTTTCTGTGTTAGTGGAAAAGCAGGCGAGTCAGCCGACCTATTTTATGAGCAGGCAGAGCAGGATTTTTGCGCTAACCATCGGCGCAATTCCGCTGTTTGTTATGAAACGCAGTTTCAGTGTAAAATTAGTAAGGCGAGCTTCTTTGGCGATGATGTGTTTAGTATTAGATTTGACTTTTAGCGGACATTTGCGCTGAACACGCAGTGAATGCAACGCATGGAGATTCGAGCACCTTAAGCGCGTACTCGATTGATCTCAGCTGGCGGATCATTATTCACCACGTGACGTGTCATGATCGCTTTCATCTGCGCCTCAACTTTAGGTGGGGTTTGCAAACCTGTGTGCTTTAAGTTTTCACTCTTCTGCCGTTTGCATTTCCCGTGGTCATAAAAGCTCCTTCCCTGTGATCTGACAGCAGAATACCTTGAGTGAATGACAGCTAATATGAACCAATATAGCGGCAGGGAAGAGCGATTCAGCACGTGTTTAGAAAAAAATCAAAACAGGTCGCACTACAACCATTATCTGCAGTCGCACTAATGCTCCCAGATATATTATGAGGTCGCATAGATTAATTTTCGGGCGCATATGCGACCAAAATGGTCGCAATTTCGAGCCCTGATATATATATATATAATGTATTATACTCTCTGGCCACTTTATTAGGTACACCTTACTAGTACCTGGTTGGACCCCTGTTGCCTTCAGATCTGCCTTAATCCTTCATGGCAGAGATTCAACAAGCTACTGGAAATATTCCTCAGAGATTTTGCTCCATATTGTCATGATAGCATCACACAGTTGCTGCAGATTTGTCGGCTGCACATCCATGATGCCAATCTCCCGTTCCACCACATCCCAAAGCTGCTCTATTGGATTGAGCTCTGGTGGCTGTGGAGGCCATTTGAGCGCTGTGAACTCATCGTCATGTTCAAGAAACCAGTCTGAGATGATTGAGCTTTATGACATGCTGCGTTATCCTGCTGGAAGTAGCCATCAGAAGATGGAGACACTGTGCTCATACTGTATATGATGAGTGCAGGCTGAAGTCAGAATTATTAGTCATCCTGTAATATTTTTATTCTTTTATTATAACACATTTCTAATCATAATATTTTAATAGCTCATTTCTAATAACTGATTTATTTTCTCTTTGTCATGATGACAGCACATAATATTAGACTAGATCAGGGTCTCGCGGCCCGCGGGCCATTTGCGGCCCTCAGTGCAATATTTTGTGGCCCGCACCGACCGCTGTATACTTTGACAGAATCAGCGGAGCGGGGAGAGAGAGCGCTCCCCGCTCCGCTGATTCTATCCGTACACAGCGCGCTTGTCACTCAATGCGTATTGTCGCGCGCGTACTCAAGAGCGGTGTTATCGCGCGCCTACTGAAGGGCGGGACCGAGGGTGTGTTGCGTCGCGGGGGCACTTGATCATTTTGGAAGGGCACTTTCTATGCAAGATTAAAAAGGGCATGTGCTCTGCACAGGTTGAGCCCTATGTGTGCACGTGCCTGCCCTGCATCTTATATATATTGATATTATAGGTAGATACAGACTGGTACAGACTGATGAGACTGGAGTGGGGTGGGGGTGTTTTATTTATACATATATACGCCTTTTTTTAGGTGAGGGAATGGAAGTTTTGAGTGAGTTCCCCCACTTTTTTCCCTAGGACTTCAATAAGTCAAAGTACAGGTCTAGACTTAATGATGATCATCTTCAAGCCATACTGAGGGTCTCAACTGCTTCCGCTCTAAAGCCAAATGTGGTTCAGATTTGTGGGAAGAAGCGCTGTCAAGTCTCTGGCAGCAAGAAGTAGGCAAAAGATGCCATGTTCAGAAGACCTGTTCATAATCTTCACTCAATGTTCTATTAATGTTCAGGACACTTCATGTTCAGAAGAAATAATTAAAACTGTTAATAATGACATTTGAGGACTTTTTTTTTGTGAAATCCCTTATGCGGCCCAGCCTCACCCAGACTTTGCCTCCTGCGGCCCCCAGGTAAATTGAGTTTGAGACCCCTGGACTAGATATTCTTTAAGACACTTCTATACAGCTTAAAGTGACATTTAAAGGCTTCACCAGGGTAATTAGGGTAAAGTTAGGGTAATTGGGCAAGTCATTGTGTAACAGTGCTTTGTTCTGGAGACAATCCAAAACTAATATTGCAAAAGAGGGCTAATTATGTTGAGCTTATAATGCTTTTAAAAAAACATAAAAACTTCTTTTATTCTAGCCAAAATAAAACTAATAAGATTTTCTCCAGAAGAAAAAAGTATTCTAGGAAATACTGTGAAAAATTTCAACATAATTTAGGAAATATTTGGGAAAGAATTAATATATTGCACAGGAGGGTGAATGATTTTGTCCTCATCTAAATGTTTTCAGTATTCCTTCATGTATTTCCCTTCTGTGTTGTGTTTCAGATGCTGCGTATTTGAGGAAAGCGTATGATCTGCTTCGAGCGTCTGATGCCAGATCTCAGTCTGAGCTCAGTGTTTTGTGTGCTGAACAGTGTCTACAGGTCAGAAAATCACATCCTAATTCAAAATGACTCCAGTTAAAGCATAAAGTCCTCCTTTTCAATATTGTTTACATCAGTATAAAAATGTCATTGATTCTCGGAACTTAAGTATTAAAAGTAAAAACAATTACTGCTATGGAAGACATTTCTATTAATACAACTTGTCAAATTCTAATAACCATACTAGCAATTTAAGTATAAAATAACACAATATTATATATCCTGGTATATAAGATAACAAGTTTACACATAATATACACAGTAATATATATATATATATATATATATATATATATATATATATATATATGTGTGTGTGTGTGTGTGTGTGTGTGTGTGTGTGTGTGTGTTGGTTTATGTGATTTACGAAGACATTTCATATGAATACACGCCACATTATGAGGACATTTTCAATTATGAGGACATGGTCGGAGTCCTCATAATTTTAGCAATGTAGAAGTGCTTCTTTAATGTAGAAGAGCTCAAATCCAAAATTTCTCCACATGACTTTATAGTTCACATAAACCTGATTTTGTGTATTACGTGTGTATTCGACATGCGCCCCTGTAGCCCGGACTGAGTACTGCATCCCCTCATTAATTATGCATGCGAGTGTATGAAATCGCGGCATGTGATTGGCTGACCATCAAACGTCCTCATAATAACTGTATCTGTCAAACATCTGTGTAAACAATAATGATTAAAAAATAGTTTTAAATATGTATAAATATGAATTACGTTCTAATTAAATAATAAAAATCCCCCACTACCTTTATAAGATCAATAAAGAAATAAATGCCTGTTATTGGCCAATCGCCACCACCTGACTCAATCAATTCCGCGCTGGACAGATAGATATCACTCATCGTTTGAAGACAACACAAAGAAGCACGGAGCTTGTTTATTCGACGATTGATTGCATACGATTGATTAAATGTGAATTAATTTATGGAAACTGATAGCCACTGAACTCAAGCGATTTTATGCTGGAAGATCCGATGACACATGGGTGTCAATCATCAGTTTCAAGACCTTTAAGGTAAGACTGTTAAATAAACACCCAGATAATTAAGTGTACTAACGTTACACGATTAATGTGCATTATTTGACTAAACTTAACAGCGAGTAAAAGTAACCTTGTTAACCTTGTAAGTTAGCGTACTTTTCATTTCCTGTCAAGAATGATGAACTATCGTTTTTAAAATGATGATTTATTGTTTTAGTATTACGTTTATGTTTGCAATGTCGTCATGGCTTACCAAAGTAACAGATGCGTTGCATGTAATCGTTTATAGTGTGCTTATTAATTTTGTAAGATTAGTATTTGCTAATCAAGTCATAACGTTATTGTCAGATTGATATCACTAATGTATGTAATGATAAGTTACACGTTATGGTCTAACTTGTTATTAGACGTTTTTACTGCACCCAAGATACAAGACGAATAACTGTATGTTAACTGTATTTTTCATAGCACGTGCTGATGAAGTAGTTTAATCGTTTTATTTTGTCCTCATTTTCATTTTATTTATGAATAATGTTGCTTACACTTACAAAATGGTCACAAGACATTCACATATGGTAAATCTAAATGTGAAACGTGGTTCCAAAACACTTTTGGTGGTTTTGGCATAATTTAACATGGGATTCACACAAAAGTGTTCCAGAAGCACACATTTCACATTTGTATTTTGCACATGTGAATATTTCTGTAAAGGTAACGTGTATACAGATGTTTCATCCTATTAAATATGTAGTCTTTGTGTATTTGCCATATCTAGACATTTTACTGACAAAGTAAAAGCAAACAAATAATTTTAAGTAACTTACATTACATTTTTTTTCCTGTTTCACTGGCATGTCATACTGACATGCATATTACAGACTAAGCACAAACTTTAACATGTGTACCCTTTGAAAAAATAAACTAAATATGATAAAAAAAAAAAATTACAAAAATGCATTGATGTACAGTGACATTGGTGCATTGCTTGCGACAAATGGTGACAGCAAGGTCGCAGAGACTCAAACTGAAACCAAAGGATGAAGCAGTGTACTATGCTTTGACTTCAAAAGATAAAACTGGGTTTGAAATAAAATACATAAGCTTATTCAAAGGTAAGAAAAAAAAGTCTGTTTACGTCAGGGATCTCCAATAATTGTTCTTTTTCATGACTAATCTGAAAAATCATTTGCTAGGTCGGGGAGTATTCAGCTCTAGCCACTATAGAAAAGAAGATTTTCTAGTTGAATATAGAGGAGACATAATAACCAAAGAAGAATGTGAAAGAAGACGCAGACTTTATCATAATGCACTTGAAGTGTTTTTGTTTTAACTGCTTTTTAATGGAAGACTGTTATGGTATGTATATTGCTTTATTAAATTTGCTAACATTTATGTTTCTGTATTTTCCTTAAATATATATATATATAAAAAAGGAACTTGTCTTTTCTAAAACTTGATAATTTTTTTTGATCTGCAATTACTTACTGTGTAATTTAGTAACTACTGTAATTACATGAGGTGGCATTGTTTTCTATGATTCAGGGTTGATGCTGCAAGAGAAGATGGCTCGTTGGGTAGACTTATTAATGACAATCATATAAACACAAACAGCAAAATGAAAATAATCAATGTTGATAGAAAACCCTATTTGTGCTTATTCGCAACAAAGGACATCAGTCCAGGGCAAGAGATCACTTATAACTATGATGTTTCAGAATGGCCATGGAGGAACAAGGTATGCAGAGATTAAAGTTGTTTTCTTAAAAATTGTTTGGTTATATAAAATTAAGCCAAAACAAACTTAAATCTTTGAAAAATACCGTATTCTGCAAGCATTTACATTTGTTTAATATTGTGTTGTTCATCTAAACAGGTGACCTCTGACACTGAAATCCAGACCAGTACTTCACTTAGCTGTGCAGGACAGAAAACTGGAACACAGAAGGTAAATGACTGAGAACACTGACTGTATATTTTCCCTTAGTTTAGCTCTCTATATATGCTAAAACTGTCAAGTTTACTGTTTATACAGTTTGTCAGTTCTGTAAGGATTTACTTGTGTTAATAGTGTTGTTCATCTAAACGGGTGACTTCTGACACTGAAATCCAGACCAGTACTTCACTCAGCTGTGCAGGAGACAATACTGGAACACAGAAGGTAAATGTCTGAGAACGCTGACTGTATATTTTCTCTTAGTTTAGCTCTCTATATATGCTAAAACTGTCAAGTTTACTGTTTATACAGTTTGTCAGTTCTGTAAGGATTTACATATATTAATACTGTGTTGTTCATCTAAACAGGTGACCTCTGACACTGAAATCCAGACCAGTACTTCACTCAGCTGTGCAGGAGAAAATGGTGGAACACAGAAGGTAAATGTCTTAGAACACTGACTGTATGTTTTCTCTTAGTTTAGCTCTCTATATATGCTGAAACTCTCATAAAGTTTACTGTTTATACAGTTTATCAATTGTGTAAATATTTACATGTGTTAATATAAGGGTTGGGTATCACTTTTTTTTTTGATACCTACTGTAAATCGATACTTTTAAAACGAAACCGGTGCCAAAACAGTGCCTGAACCGATACTTTTTAGCCACAAAATTATGGTGGATGACTCTAGAAAAATCTTTTATTTGACAATTAAAAAAATAATAATTTTAATAGAACAATATAATTAAAGTTTCAAGTAAACATCAATTCATATTTTTGTATTTGAATTGCATTAATACATTTCCTTTGATCATTTGTTGGTTAGCATGAATTTAGGATTTGCAATTTGAAATTACATTAGCTTACTATTAACCTGTGGGGGAGCGGGCAGGGGCCACGTACTTTTGGAGGCACATTTTAACATGTATATCACAAAATACTTAAAAAATGATTCAAAGTCATTTTTTTTCTTGCATTACTTTGCAGTCTTCATAAACAAGATAATTAAATAACTTAAACTCAAAATAACCTTCCTTGTTCATTTATTTGACAAGTAACGTTATACTGGTGTAGGAGAACACATTTCTAACATTCAAGTACATCAAGGCACATTGTTGCATCTGTAAACTTTAACAGGCCTGCAGTTGAAGTCAATTTATTTTGCTTTCCCATTCATTTAAAATAATTTTTCTGAAAATGTTCAAAGTGTTTCCTAAAAAAAAAAGAATTATTCCAGAGTTATTATAAGTTCTATATCTTATTGTTTATTTCATAAATAAAAGCTGTTTTTAATTTAAATAAAAATAAGGTCAGTATTTTTAGCCTCTTCAAGAAATATTTGCTGGATATTTTTGATTTACACAAAAAATCAGTTACAAAATAATTTGAATAATTTTAACTTTCGTAGTAAACTGATTAAGTCATTAAATTACACTTTAATCTGAATAAAAGACTATAAATACTTAAAGGGACTTTGTCTGAATACAACTGTCTTGCAAAATAAATAGTAAAATGTTCTGCACTGACTGTCTAGCATGGGGAAGATAAAACAGCAGATTTTAGAAATAAGTTATAAGTTAAACTATTGTGTTTAAAAAAGTGTTGTAAATAAATCATGTGTTGAAGACGGAAATCAAAAATGAATGAAGGCAAAACTAAACAAGTTGAATATGACTTGCATGAGCGTGACTGAAAACTACATCTGATCAATGTCTTACATCTGTTCTTTGGTACTTACCGACTGTTTGTAAATTCAAGACTGCATTTCCTAACGTTAAACTCTGTACACTAGATTTCTAATTAATAATGGTCTCTGCATAGCCGAGGACTTCCTATTATAAAAGTGTTAAAATCGCTATTGAAAACAGAAGTCTAATATCATCAACAGTGGACATTTTGATAGTGTTTCACAACCTGAACATGACTGCAGTTCAATCTTTTTATTACCTGTGTCAATTTGGGCGTCAACTTCTGACGAATGCAGGGAACTGATCCGCGCAGCACCTTTACAGAGAGCAAGTGCCGCGAAAGTAGAGTTCCTCTGCCTTTGAGCCCTCAAATGTGTCATTAAGTTTGACATGTTTCCCCCTTACACGACACAACTTTTGTAAAGCACATTGCTGTGTAAGAATCCTTGCTTGTAAAATATGCTTTAAAATGCTTAGTTTAAGCAATTTTGATGAAAGTGGTCATGCGTGTTGATCTGGAGTGTCGCTCTCGCTGACCGAAAACCAGGCTGAATGTGCTTTACTGCGCGCATTGCGTGCGTCCGTTCCCTAAGCGACAGTAACAATCACTTACATTGCCTGTCCGTATTCCTCAAAGTTGTTTAGGATTAAATGTTTACGTCCTTCATTTGTCCTTGTCGCAGCACCAGTGGCACCGAAATTAGGCCCCAAAATTCATATGCTGATTTGATCCGGTACACTTTGGTTACTTAGGTACCGGTGCTATAATGGCACCAGGTTTTGGTACCCAACCCAAGTTAATATTGTGTTGTTCATCTAAACAGGTGACCTCTGACACTGAAATCCAGACCAGTACTTCACTCAGCTGTGCAGGAGAGAATGGTGGAACACAGAAGGTAAATGTCTGAGAACACTGACTGTATATTTTCTCTTAGTTTAGCTCTCTATATTTGCTGAAACTGACAAAGTTTACTTATACAGTTTGTCAATTGTGTAAGGATTTACATATATTAATATTGTGTTGTTCATCTAAACAGGTGACCTCTGACACTGAAATCCCCAGACCAGTACTTCATTCAGCTGTGCAGGAGACAATACTGGAACACAGAAAATAAATGTCTGAGAACACTGACTGTATATTTTCTCTTAGTTTAGCTCTCTATATATGCTGAAACTCTCATAAAGTTTACTTTTTATACAGTTTGTCAGTTCTGTAAGGATTTACTTGTGTTAATAGTGTTGTTCATCTAAACAGGTGACCTCTGACACTGAAATCCAGACCAGTACTTCACTCAGCTGTGCAGGAGACAATACTGGAACACAGAAGGTAAATGTATTAGATACCTACAAGTGTTTGATACCTAGCAGAATTGCTCTCCGGGTTATTTGTGTAATTGGATATTATGTCATTTTTAAAATGGGAATAGTTAGGAGATGCAGGTTTCTCTTACTAAAGTCAGATTGGACCAATAGGTTGTGTGTTGCATGCTGTTCAGGAGTCGGGGGTGGGGTGGGGCTGGGGGAAAGGGTGACTGACGCATGCTGCTGCGCCCCACAGCAACAGAGAAGGCTTGGCAGAGCAAAAAAATACTGCATTACTATTTTTGTTAAATAATTTTTTTTAATCATACTAAAATAACACTTGACAGAAGTTCACTCAAAAGCGCAAGTTCTTTCTGTCATTAATTACTAACACTCCTGTCATTCCTACTACTTTCAGAACATAAATTTTGATATTTTACCATATGAAAATGCAATGCAGTTATGAAAATTGTGAAATTAAAGCAATAGTGCAGAGATCTGGTCCCCGCGTCAGGTCAGGGTGCACCTGTAACCTTTAAAACGAAGATCCGGAGGCGCACTAAACTCACACGGGAAAGAACTGGGCATTCAATTCATGTTTTAGTTAAATAATTCTTAAATACAGCTCTCTTGATCTCTAAAAGGGAAAAAATGCAAAAGAAATTTGTCGTTAAATTAATTTTAGCAGGGACGCAACTGCCTGTCATTTTCACATTCGTTTTTCAGTTAGGGATTAGGTCTATTAGAGTAACCTAATAAAAATGTTTTGTTGGACACCGTAGTCTACACAATAATCAATATTATAATTTATTGTATACATTATTATTAAAACTAAACTATACAATTGATAAAACAAAACCCTTTTTAATGTTTGCTTTCATTTTGACACCGCTAACAGTTGTAATAAGAAACATCACATTATGCAGAAGTTAAAAAAATACCTTTTGAGTTTAAAGATGATCAGCCTGCCAAGTCAAGTTTACAGTGTCATAAATGAAATAGGTAGCATGAATAAAGGGGATTTGCAACCTCTCGTATGCACTGCAGGTAGACTGAATGATAATCTTTAAAAATATATATGCAATACAAAACTTTAAACATTTATGTTTTTTTAAATAAAAAGAAAAGAAATCAGGAGAGTGAAATATCATTTAAACCACTGGTCTGGCGCTGATACTTTATTGTTTGTAGCTAGAAGAAGAAAAAAAAAGCAGATGAAAACCTGGCTGGGGAGACGGGGATAACATGGATTATCTGTTCTTTAGAAAAGATCACGACATTGTGAGGCGTTTATCATACAACGCAATTCGTGTTTATAATCATTAATATTAACTAATATTAAAATTCTCTCTAGACTTTGTTTTAGGGGTTGTTCTTGTATGCTAAATATACCCTAGGCTTATTGCACGTACAAATTGATTGTGAAGAATGATTTCGCATTTTTTATTGCATCTTTTTCGCTGATTATTTATCTTTTTATTTTTTTAAAGTGGTGAGAACATTATTTACTGGCAAACTTGTTCCTCGATCTCGTACATAAACAAATAAAGTAGCCTACCTAAGTTAATTTACCTTTAATGTAAAAATTAAGGAATAACTTAACTTAATATTAATAAATAAAACATCGGTATAAACGTACGCGTTTAACTTTCGTTAATAAAACAACACAAAACTGTTTATAAATATTGTAGTTAAATATTAAAAAACTTTAACTGCTTGAAACCTTATAATAATAACAATTAAATGTTACTTTACTTAGCAAACAGCCTAAATGGCACTTTACTCATCAGTGTAATAATAATATAAATATTAATAATTGTAAGTAAAAAGAAAATATTAACCTAGTAACAATGTAAGTCAGATGTTTAAAAAAACAGCGTAGGTTCTCTCCACCTTTTGTATTCGTATTTTAAATTATTTGCCAGAAAAACTAACATGTTGACTTTGTCCGGTTTAAGTGAAGAATGGGGTTATAATGTTTCCAGCAATACACTGTTAGACGGTGTGCTTGTAGCGAAAATGCACATACAGGCTACTTTTTCACAACCATGCGATAGGGTTTCTTGCTTCTGTTCCACCGCCAGCATTTCTCGCAAAGCAGGTTTCTCTACGCTGCGGGGCGGCGCGTTCTTAACTAGTTACCAAATATGTTGCTCCATTTCTCATCAATGTCTTCCATTTATCACTTTCTCTTTTTTGACAATGGACAACCGTGGTGGCAACTAACCACGGTGGTGACCCAGTTGTCACGGTGACCATCACAGCACTAGTCTTAAGTATATATATAAAAAAATATCGCAATATATATCGCAGGAAAAAAAATATTGCAATGTCAATTTTTTTTCCAATATCGTGCAGCCCTAGTGTGTAGTGTCTCCATAATTACTGATTGTGCTATATTGTGTATTAAATTAGGTTGTGTGTCCTCGTATTTACTGTTGTTGTCATGTTGTGTATTGTGGGGGAGGGACAGAAGATGCAGGTTTCTATTACTAAAGCCAGATTGGACCTATTGCTTGTGTGTAGTGTCCCCATAATTACTGATTTTGTTATATTGTGTATTAAATTAGGTTGTGTGTCCTCGTATTTACTGTTGTTGTCATGTTGTGGGGGAGGGACAGAAGATGCAGGTTTCCATTACTAAAGCCAGATTGGACTTATAGGTTGTGTGTGTGTGGTGTCCTCATAATTACTGATTTTAGGGCTGTGCAAATAATCGATAATCCGATTTCCATTTTGACTTCTAACAATCATGAAAAAACATTAATCAAGATAAACGATTATTGCATCATATACCGCCCCATTCCAGTTTTGCACATTTGTTGCTCTGCAAAGCTCAGTTCCACGTAAAAATGACTAAAAGCATCTACTGTAATGTAACTTTTGCAGCACAGGATGAGCATCATTCATTTATGTACATTCGAATCATTCATGTTTTTAAACGTGCAAACGAGCGCATGCTGTTGTGTGTGCGTGCTTGGCCTCAGAGACGAGCAGAGCACACACATCTAAAGTCATTCTAAAGTGAGTGCTTTAATGGTCAAATACATGCACATTCGTGTCAGAGCGCGGTGTTTAGTGATTATTCATTTTAACCCTCATTTTTGTAATAAACTAGTTGAGAATAAAAAAACATGTGAAAGAGAAACCATATCAGAGCCGCACTATTCTTTTAAGTGACAGCACGCAATATTCCTGCTTAAGGAATTAATTTTTTATCAAACAAATGGAGAAAATCTCTTGCTGCTCTTGACTGAAGGACTTTTGTAGCTAAAGTTTTTTTTTTCTTGCAGTAAAGATGCTTAAAGCTCAGTTTGTTTCATATTTTTATTTTATTGTATTTATTTCCCTTTCCTTATTTACAGGAAGGAAAATAACTGCATATATACCGTTAACGTCAGAATTATTAGCCCTCCTGATTTATTAGCGACCCTTTCCCCCCAATATCTATGAATGGAAAGAATTATTTTCAACCCATTTTTAAACAATAGTTTTGGTATCTCATTTCTAATAACTGATTTCTTTTAACTTTGCTTTGATGACAGCACATAATATTTTACTAGATATTTTTTTAAGATACTAGTATTCAGCTTAAAGTGACATTTAAAGGCCTAATTAATGTAATTAGCCAAGTCATTGTATAACAGTAGTTTCTTCTGCAGACCATTAAAAATATATATTGCTTAACGAGCTAATAATATTGAGCTATTAAATTAGATTTCAAAATATTAAAACCTGCTTTTATTCTAGCCGAAATAAAACAAATAAGCCTTTACCAAAAGAAGCAGGAAATACTGTGGAAAAATTCCTCTGTTAAACAACATTTGGGAAATATTTGTATATAAAAAAAATTCACAGAAGAGCGAATAATTTTGACTTCAACTGATAATTCGTGAGAACAATTATGACCAAAATAATCGTCATTATGATTTATCCCATAATCGAGCAGCCCTAACTGATTGTGCTATATTGTGTATTAAATTAGGTTGTGTGTCCTCGTATTTACTGTTGTTGTCATGTTGTGTATTGTGGGGGAGGGACAGAAGATGCAGGTTTCTGTTACTAAAGCCAGATTGGACCTATTGCTTGTGTGTAGTGTCCCCATAATTACTGATTGTGCTATATTGTGTATTAAATTGGGTTGTGTGTCCTCGTATTTACTGTTGTTGTCATGTTGTGTATTGTGGGGGAGGGACAGAAGATGCAGGTTTCCATTACTAAAGCCAAATTGGACCTATTGGTTGTGTGTAGTGTCCCCATAATTACTGATTGTACTATATTGTGTATTAAATTAGGTTGTGTGTTCTCGTATTCACTGTTGTTGTATTCACTTATACAGTAGGTTGTAGGCATGGGCTGGTATATGATTCTGACAGTATGATTACTTTGGATTAAAAAAAAATAAATCAAAGTATATATTTTTTTTAAAAACATTTAAATTATTTTGAAACGTTCAACATGTCAGGCTAAATAATAAAAATATATAATTCAGTGTTTTCTTTAGAATTTTTTTCAGATGTGGCGGCAGACTCTCTTGGGCCTTTTACACTGATCTACCAACTACTTAAACAAATAACGCACAGCAATACTACTGTTACAGAAAAGTTCACTCTGTTATAATTCACTTAAAGGTGCAGTAGGTGATGTGCCAAAATGCTAACCGCTTAGCATATTATCTTTGGACGGCGGGGAGGGACTGTGATTCAAAGCCACAACCCCTGAAGTAACTAGCGCGCGCACCGCATCACAACAACAGACAGACAACCCACTAGTTCATGTCATTCGCCAGTTAGACTTAGTGTTTAGCCAGCGTCGTGCAGGAATTACATATTACTTAGCCATACTTACATGCTATTTCAGAGCGAATATTCAAAGTAGCGGTAAACGGTATAGGAAGGCTGGCATTGTTCAAAAATGACCCAATGTGAATATAAAAGCAACTTCAGCTCAATAAAGCAGTTTGGCGGAATAGAGCTATTTACTGATTTTTTGTTGTTAAACTAAATATAAATCTACATTATCGATGCTGTAAAAGGACCTTATGAAACTGAAAATAATCACATCAATCTTTCACTGGGAGATTTCAGTGGCTGAACAACACGTCTGTGCATATAAGTCATTCACAACAGAACACAATCTAACATTAGCTTAGCCTGACTAAAATAGTTTTAAAACAGAACATTACCTGTCTAACAGTAATACTTCAGCAATGGTGTTGTCTTTCTTCCAGCGTGCTCAAGTTACTCCAATATTGATATAGGTTTTTAAAAGTTTCAATTCATTTTTTGATTTCTCCTGGTCCGTCTCGTGACGGCCCGGCAGCTTATGCAGACGGGCACATCCTAATGGCTTGAACGGATGCGCAGAAGTCCCAATCTACATTTGCTGACAGACAGTCTGAGCTGCTTATCGGAGTTATGGGAGATGTCGGTCCGACTCTATTTAATTGGGTAAACATTTTTTAGTTTTATGCCTTGCCCAGAATATAAAATTACATTTAAACACATTTAGATCATTTACTGTAATCATTACTATTGGACTGTGAAGAGACTTTCAACCAGCACAACAACAAATGTTTCTGAAGACAATCACCTGCACCTTTAACTTTTAATGCGTTTTGGTGCGTTTTATAACCCGCTATTAAAAAAACAATGACTGAATGTTTTGAATGAGTAGTAATGTAGCAGTGGTGGGGTAAATTTTGGTGTGGCGCCCCGCCATGAAAGAATGAATGTAGTGGAAACCATGTAATTGACTTCTGTTATCTCCATTAGTTTTTAAAAACACAGATTTCTTTACAACATGAAAATACATCTTTGGAGATCTTTCTTTTCTTTGAATAATAAGCCACTGCACTGTTCAGGTGCACAGCATGCTGAATGGTGGTGCACAAGTGATTTGTTTTTCAAATGTTTGAGGAATTGTGGGATGAATTTAAGCTGAATTGTAGTTTATGTTGTAGATGGTCTTTGACAACATCTTAAAAAAAAAAAAAAAAAAAACGTACATATACCTTAGGAATGGTATAACATTTTTTTTTTTGTTTTAACTGTAAACCTTGAAACTGACTATCATCCCATGCCTAATAGGTTGTGTGTTGTGTCCTGATATTTATTTACAGGGTTATATTGTGTATTTAACATGGGTTATGTGTTGTGTGTCTTTCTACTTACTTATGGTGGTATATTGTGTATTAATATAGGCTGTGTATTGTGTCCTTGTGTATTTACTGCTGCTGATGATTTTTTTTTTTTCAACAGATTTGTAAACTTTATGTAATATCAGTAGCTGTGTCAAGCTTGGATAAATGTGCCAGCTGCAGTGGGCCCTACAATGCATTCAAGTGGGTTAGGGTGAAATGTAAAAGTAAGTATTGTGCTTTGATAAATTAAAAAATAATAACAATAAAAAATTAATTGTAACCCTCTCTGTGAAAACCCAGCTAAAGTCATGTTTTGATTTACTGCTCTCTCTTTCTCTTTCTCTCTCTCTCTCTCTCTCTCTCTCTCTCTTTCTTTTTTCTAAGAACCTGTTAAAAGGAATATTGCCAATATCATAAATCAAGTTATTTCATTTTGTTTATTTACATTTTTATTAAGGCACAATGTAGTGCCAAGTATGGTCAATTAGTTTATCGTACTAATTAAATTGTTGCACCTAAGTGCTCTCACGATGCGGTATGCGGTCCAGTCAGTACTGAAATTTGAAAAACGTCCGCTAAACGTTCCCACTAAAATTTAAGCACTGTTGATCGTGTTCTTAAACGGCACTGATTTGCTGTTGTGTTCACATGCTCAACAGAAATTACTGTTATTGACTGTGAAGGTCATCAACTCCCCACCGTTTACTAAGTGGAAACACAAAAATTCGGACACTGGAGTGCTTTAAAGCAGTGAAGATCAGTCGATTCATCAGGGGATTGTTCATATGTCAGCTCAAAGACAGACCAGCTGAACTTCACAGCTTTAAAACGTTCCAGTGTCCTTGTATCTGTGATTACACCAATGTTATAATAGTTTTGAATATTTTATTAGTTTCAGTTTCTATTTCGTTTTGACCTTTGGTTTTCAAATTCCGTTAGTTTTAATTAGTTTGAGGTAGATTTCTTAATTTTTATTAGTTTCTATATTTTAAAAATGTCTTAGTTTTAGTTTAGTTTTTATTAGTTCCAGTATTTAAGTTTTTTCTAAATAAGGACATTTGTTAGGTGCAAGATTCAAAATCAACAGCATAAAAACCATCCTCAAATTCAAATACAACAGCCCACAAGACAGCAGTCTTAAGTACAATATGTGTGCAAGGCTTCTTCTGAGGTTAGACACAGTAGTGATGGGCAGGGCTGGATTAACCAATGGGCATTATGGGCACAGGCCCAGTACGCATTTAGATTTTGCCTACTCTTCATCACGAGCAAGAGAAGTAGGAATCATTAATATGTGTGTATTATGGAGGACTCAGATTCCTAGAACTGGATTGGAGAGGTGTTATATCTAAATCATGTGCATTATAAGTTTGTAGAAGTTATACACTAAAAATACCCTTAAATATAAATGTTTGTGCTGCTTCAGTGAACTTGAACAAATATATTAAAATCCATTAATTTCCCCTAGTTGTATTAGTATTTTTTTCAAAGTGTGCTTTAAATGCTTAAAAATAAGTTTAATCTTTGTAGACTAGAAATATATGTAGTGTATATCATTCATTTTAAAAATGTGGGCAATACATTATAAATTAATTTTATTTAACAAATATTATATTAATCTTATTTTTTAATTCAACTATGGGGTGCGGCTATAGGGGGCCTACAAGACATTGTGCCCAGGAGCTTCTGAATTATTAATCCGGGCATGGTGATGGGAGGTATAGATTTTTAACGTGGATGTTATGACTCAACATTATGTAGTCAGCAATAGTAATTCAGTCAGTTAAAACATCACCATGATATGAAAAATGTCTTACAGTAAAGTTTTGCAACCAACTGAATCATGATTCACTTATTTAAATTCCATTACGATTGTCTGTTAAGAAATAAACTTACGTTTTTCACCAGATCCTTTCATTTAAGCCATCGGTTTAGCTGTAGTTGTTTTAAATTCAGTTCAGTCATACAGCAGGCTGTACCTTTTGTGTTTGGTTCACTGAATCATGCATGCGCAGTTTTATCGGTTCACCGCTTCTCAATGTAACGTTACTGTTCTAAAAACTGAATGAGTATATATTGGATTATTCAGAGTCACTGTACGTTCACACCGAAAGCGGCGAGAGCGTCAAAATAGCCGGAAGTCATTCATTTTCAATGAGAGCCGGCGGCGATAGGCGACGATAAGCGGCGAGGAGCAGCGCGGCGCGTCTTCGCCGGCGTGAGCATCGAGGAGAGTTGAAATAAAGTCAACTTTATGGTAATGAGCTATGACGCGGTTCGGCGGCAAGCAATCAGAATAAAGACGTCCACCGCTTGATAGCAGTTCAGGGAACACAGACCTGTGAACTTTGGTTCCGACCACAGTTGTTCCCAAGGGTTTGATTATTGCGGTTGCCGGATTTCCAATTATTTACAATGTTTTCTTACAGGAACATACATTAAATAAGTTACTGGCGAGTTACTGATGTTCATCAATGTTATGTAAATTTATCTTTAAAAAGCGGGAATCTCACGCGATGTGACAGTACAAAACAGTATAGCTGCTTCAGGATATTTCAGACATATGGACACATATTGGATAAATAGAGCAAAGCCACACCACATGCAACTTGATCTTCCATTGTTATATGAATTTGAAAAGAAGTGCGCAACATTTTCACGCTAAAAACATGTCTTATGCAGGAATGTAACTGATAATGCTGCAACGGCTCCTTTAAGTACGAGATCAATGTAGCGAGTTTTGACGCTCTCACCGCCGGAGCTGAAGGCAGACAGCGTTGTCGCCAGGGCGACCTTGGACGCTCTCGCCGCTTTCGGTGTGAACGTACGGTCAGAGGGGGGTATTAGGCTTGTTATAAAGTAAGTAGTTTGTGGATAAGTGCTTACTTGAGACGCGATTCGTTTGAAATTATTCAGTTTGATTTGGTGAGCTTGTTCAATTGGTTCACTTAGAAGATCCGGTTAAAAAGATTAGTTTGCGATACTGAAATAAAATCCATTATTGAGCACAAATATGTTTAAGTAATAGTTTTAAGTCTCTGTAATTAATGCTGTCACCGTGCTGCTGTCATGTCCACTCGTTGTTTTTGTCGCGGGAGCAACAGTAAGGATGACTAGAGAAGAACCGGCTCAATCTGGCCAATGGCGGCAGGAGACTCAGGTGCGAAAAGGTTAAAAACAAACACCTGCGCGCAGATTATATTTACTACTAAAAGGCTTACAGTAAGATTATGTATTAAATACATTTACAAATATGAAAACGAAGGAGGTTTTTGCTATAACTTTAGTTAGTTTCAGTTAGTTATGTATGTACACAATACAGTTTCAGTTAGGTCTAGTTTTTAAAAAAAACTCTCATTTTTATTTTAGTTAACGACAATTATTTTACATTTTTAGTTTTAGTTTTTTTGTTCGTTTTCATTAACTATAATAACCTTGGCTTACACTCAGTAAACATTGGTGAGTTTGGTAAACTGATGACCTTTTAAGGCCAATCACAGTCATTTCTGTTGAGCACATGAACACAATGGCAAATCAGCGCTGTTTAAGAATGAGCTCAGCCCAGATATTATCGGGAAATAGATGTTTTTAAATTCCAGTACTGATCAGTTCCAAATTTGAGTATTGTGAAAATACAATTACTTCTAGTAATAATCAAAAAAAGTTAAATAAAGAATGATTGAGAAAAGGGTGTGGTTGGGAAATGGAGATGAGCTCTGATCAACATGGTGCTGATCCCATGAATCTGTTTTCTTATTTGCAGTCATTCTCAAATCTTCTGAAAATTACGCAAGAAGAAAAACAAAGACCATGGTCTCCTGATGAAATTGCTGCAGTATTGAGACATTTCCAAAGCCATGTTTCCAAGGGTAAACTTGCCACAAAAATAGAATGCCAACAATGCAAATCCGCAGAGCATCCTATGTTGGCAAATCGCTCCATTCAAAACATCAGGGACTTTGTCAGAAACAGGTTTGATGCTGAAATGGAATCAGGTAGAAGTAGTCTTTTTGATAACACTTGACTTAAAGAATGTGTTTATAAAACTGTAATAAAAACTATATAATTGTTACAAATGACAGTTGTAATTTGATGTAATGTGCTTCGTTATGTCAATTTTAAATGACAACTTAACAAACCAATACATCACACGTTTTTTATTTTTGTCATGACAACTTGACATTACCAAGACAAGAGAAAAGCATTTAATAAATCGGTCAAATATGATTGTCATGAGGGCATTATAATTGTGTAATTTCATAAAATGAACATTAATATTGTTTAAATTTTAAAACAGCTTCATTCATATTTTTCTTGATCACGAATACAGTGGTAAAAGCTGAATGTGTTGTTAGAATGTTGTGATTGACTTCTAATAACATTTAAAAAAAAAACATTTTTAAAAATTTAATTTAAATAAATAAATTAAAAATTAAAAAGTGATTAGAAAAATATTCATGAAATAATTATAATGGTCTCATGGCAACCATAAACTACTTGTTTTGATTATGTCAGGTTGTCATGACAAAGACTGGGTGCCTGTTTCAGTAAGGAGGTTTAAACGACTCTGAGTTTAAACTTAAACTCTTAGTTGATTTACCGAGAGATTAAAAACTCAGAGTTTTCGGTTTCAAAATAGCTGATCTGAGGTATGTCAATAAACTTTGAGTAGACCAACTCAGAGTTAAGCACACTCAGAGACTATAAAAAGGCATTATCAATGGAGCACAGATATTACAAGTGACTATGGCAACATCTTAAAAAAGAGATGCAAAGTTATAGCAAATATGATCATATATTTAAAAAAGCAACACCACTGCATCAGTGAAACAGAGGCAGCATGGGAAAACAGCTCAAGTTAATGCGTAATTTTACATTTAAAGTATTTAAATATTTAAGTATAATAAAATAAGTAACGTTATGTGTGTTTCCCAGAGATGGGTTGTGGCTGGAAGAGCATCCGCTGCGTAAAAACATGCTGAATAAGTTGGCAGTTCATTCCCCTCTGGCGAATCCCTGATAAATAAAGGGACTAAGCTGAAAAGAAAATGAATGAATGAATGAATAAATGTTATGTGCAACGTTTAAAAAAAAAATAATAATTTACACGCATTCCCACTATTATACTCATTGATCAGTTTTAATAAATTTAAGTGCACTTGTGTGTCTGCCTCTATTATTGATCAATTGGTAGAGGTTGATATGAAATTTAGAATGTATGCAAAACTAAACAGTTTTTAGAAAGAATAATAATCTCATTAATTGAGTAACAGTAGGCTACATGTCCCTGTTGAAGGTCAGTGAATTTAAGATAATTATTTATTAAAAAGGACTAGCCATTCTCGTACGTGACTTTGTTCTTTGTGTGACTGAAATGTAGGCAATAGCTATTTTTCCATACAATAATATTAATCAAATTTATGTGCAAAACTAAAATATTGCATAAAAGATGCAAATAAAGCAGCGTTTCCATCCAACGAGTCAAAGAGAACTAAATCGCCACTTCCTGATTAAACAGGCGCCAAATACCAACTGTAAAAATAGAATTTACTGCGGTATAAGAAGCTGCGTCAAGCTTTTCTTTATTTAATAAATGTACTTATTTATTAGAATTAGCAGAACAGACGCTCTTGATACACTCCAGACGCTCTGGAGATCATTAATAATATAATAACATTAATATTGAAACAGTTAAGAAATTTTAGAATGACCAAAACAACATTTGAGATGTTACTGTGTGCTTAGCCTGCTGGTTTGTCCATTTACACACAGTTTGATCAGCATATGATCTCTTATAACAAATCTTTTTTTTAATGTACATACTGTAATTTGTCAGTAAAAGTGTTTCCATCGTAGTTTATGCACATCTTTTCTATCGAATAAAAGTTTATCCTACTCAGTTATGTGCAAGTTTTTTATGCATATTTTCAAAAGTTATGTGGATCTGACATTTCCATCAATAATTTTTATGCGCATCTCCAAAATGAGCATTAAAATTGGTGGGTGGAAACGTAAGGCTAAGGTGAGAAAGACCTGTGTTTTCTGTGAACAAGTGAACAAGATGATTCTCACACCCTTTCAAAGCAAAAAACACTAGGCTAAAGGATCCAGTTCTCAAAAGTCTTGTGCACAAATGTTCTGTGTGTGTTTCATGGCCTTTTTTCAGTGACTTCTAAATTTTAGTTTTTCACTAACCACGCATAATCATTTCTTTCTCAAAAAACACAAACACATACAAACATGCTGCATAGGTATTATTGTAGCTCAACTTGTGCTGTTTACAGTGTTATCACACATTAACCAATCATATGTTTTTTAAGATACTTAAAACAACACAAATGTCAGTGCATGTCAATACTTCTTCATAGCCCCAAAACACCCTCAGACGCCAGAGGGATAATACACTTAGTAAAGCTAATGTTTTATTTGTATTAATTCGATTTTCTAAACGAGCACAAACTAAACTTTGCATTTTGTTCATATGCTGTGTTCTGCATTTGTTCTATTAGTAGATTGTTTTAGTTGTCATACCAAAGAAACTACAGTTGCTTGAATACACTCTACAGATTTACATTAGTGTGTATGTATAATGTAAAAACAAACTGATCAGGATGCCACATAAGTAACTATAAGGGCATATTTGTAAATTACTTTGTATCTAGATGGAAAAAGTTCAAAACATTGACTTTTTTGTTTAACCATGTCCTCATAAATCAGTTATGTCCTCTTAATACACAAGGTGTTTAGTTTTGTGTGTGTGTGTGTGTTTAACTGTTCGTCCTCCTAGATTACTTATGTCCTTTTAATACACAAGGCATTTACTTTTGTGTGTGTGTAACCATTCGTCCTCCTAGATCACTTATGTCCTTTTAATACACAAGGCATTTACTTTTGTGTGTGTGTAACCATTCGTCCTCCTAGATCACTTATGTCCTTTTAATACACAAGGCGTTTACTTTTGTGTGTGTGTAACCATTCGTCCACCTAGATCACTTATGTCCTTTTAATACACAAGGCGTTTAGTTTTGTGTGTGTGTAACCATTCGTCCTCCTAGATCACTTATGTCCTTTTAATACACAAGGCGTTTAGTTTTGTGTGTGTGTAACCATTCGTCCTCCTAGATCACTTATGTCCTTTTAATACACAAGGCGTTTAGTTTTGTGTGTGTGTAACCATTCGTCCTCCTAGATCACTTATGTCCTTTTAATACACAAGGCGTTTACTTTTGTGTGTGTGTAACCATTCGTCCTCCTAGATCACTTATGTCCTTTTAATACACAAGGCGTTTACTTTTGTGTGTGTGTTTAGCTGTGTCCCATTAAATCACAATTGGTCCTTTAATACACATTTGTGAAGTGTGTGTGTGTGTATAGCTACTGTCCTTATAATAACGGTTTGTGTTATGGGCGGGGTTTCAAGGTAATTATCATATGACCTCATAATTAAGTATGTAGTCAGATTGTTGTATTTTAAGTTGTGTTGTGTGTAATCAAACTTTAAAGTGAAATCTGTGTTGTACAGCTCAAAATAAAATTTTTGATATGCACCACAACTCTCTAGAGTAAGTGGAAGAGTGTGCTCCCCTAATACACCAAAAAACTGGTTTGAGCTGAAGTGTCCTTGTAACACACATAAACCCGTATGTGTGTGTGTGTGTGTGTGTATATATGAAATTTTCACATTATGTCTGATAATATTTTTTCTCCTAGAGAAAGTCTTATTTGTTTTATTTCGGCTAGAATAAAAGCCGGAAAATTGGGAATTGGGCTAATAATTCTGACTTCAACTGTATATGTATGTATGTATGTATGTATGTTTTTCACACAGTGCATCTAAGTCACATTAAACAGAAGATGTACTTTATAAACAATTTACAGCCATGACTGTTTTTTTAAATGTATTATTTTTTGCATTACTAACTTACATTTTCCTGAAATCAGTAATGATATTCAAGTTCAGTAATGATCTCCTTTTTCCTTGACTCATTTTAAATCAGTTTGTAAATCGGGACTGTTCATATTTCATAATTTTAACTGTTTAACTGTTCATAATTTTGTCAGAATTTCAAAGCGTAGCCCTGGACATCTCTGTTATTTGCAGATGATGTTGTTTTGTTGGCTTTATTCAACACAAACCTTCATCGTGCACTTGGCTGATTTGCTGCAGAGTGTGCTGGGATGAGAATCAGCACCTCCAAGTCTGAGGCCATGGTGCTCCACCGAAAAAAGGTGGTTTGCCATTTCCAGGTTGGAGGAAAGTCCTTACCCCAGATGGAAGAGTTCAAGTGTCTTGGGGTTTTGTTTATGAGTGAGGGAAGGATGGAGTGTGACATAGACAGGCGGATTGGTGCAGCAGTAATGTTGTCAATGTATCGGTCTTTTGTGGTAAAGGAGCTGAGCCGAAAGGCAAAGCTCTCAATTTACCAGTCAATCTACGTTCCTCCTCTCACCTATGGTCATGAGGATGGGTCTGACTGAAAGTACAAGATCTCGGATACAAGCAGCCGGAATGAGTTTCTTTCGCAATGTGGCAGGGCACATCCTTATAGATAGGGTGTCGCTGTCTGTGTCGGATGCCTCCTGGATGTCTACCCAGGGAGGTGTTCAAGGCATGTCCCACTGGGAGGAGGTCTCAGGGAAGACCTTGATTATTTGAATCAGTGGAGTTCACTGGAGATTTACCATGAATGAATCATTTGATTCAATAAGTTGTATATTAGAGACTCTGAACGGATAGTTCAATGAGTCGTTTACTAGAGATTCTGATCAGATCGTTTGAATGAGTGAGTTTTACTGAAGACTCTAAATGGAACGGTATCATGGTGGCACAGTGGTTAGCATGATTGTCTCACAGCAAAAAGGTCATGGTTCAAGCCTCAGGTGGGTCAGTTCTGTGTGGAGTTTGCATGTTCTCCCCTTATTGGCGTGGGTTTCCTCTGGGTGCTCCGGTTTCCCCCACAGTCCAAACACATGTGGTATTGATGAATTGGGTAAGCTATAT